GATTTAAATATGTAGCGACAGATTTGCTCATTTTAGTTTTTAGCTGTGTTCATTTTGTCAGGAGCTGTTTCATCTGATGGAAACAGCAGAACCAGACCCAAGTGGAGACGTTTACCCACAATGCACTGCAGCAAAGCTCGTCCCAGCTGTTATTAATGTATTATAAACCAAAGGCAGGTTTTAGCTGCTTCAACACACCTGATCCAGATAGCTGAAGTTTAGCTGAAGCTTTGGTTCTTTCAGTTTGGTGTCAAAGCAGAGAAACATCTAGAATGTGCAGCACGTGTGTTTGTGTGTGTGTGTGTGTGTGTGTGTGTGTGCTGTATATATATATTGAATCTGAATATTCACGATTCGGTTTGATACTTTAGTCTCACGGTTCAATATTTTTTTGATACAAAAAAGAGAAATGTCCATGTCCCTTTTAAATTGTAATTTATTTAAATTAATTATGAACATTTGTTTAACCTCAAAAGTCCAGTTTTTAATTAAATGTTGCTGAAACAGCAAGTTTCTCAGTGGATCTGTGCTCCACAGTGCAGCCTAGGTGGAGTAGTCGAACACAGATCCACTGATCCTTCAACACAGAGCATCTTCAGAAGACAAGCTGATAAAATAAATGTTAAAAATCTGTATTGTTCCATACACAGTGTGTGTTGAACGGTTCGATACGGGTACATGTATTGTTGTACCCTAAAATATATTTATCGTCATGAAAGTACTGCTCATATCTTCACTTCTCCTTTCCCTTTTTATTCTTCATATTTTTCATGTTAAACTTTCTCTTAGTTCTGCTCATTAATCTTTTTGGACCTTGTGCAATAACGAAATGCTACTGGAGGCCTTGAATTTAAAAAATGTAATAAAGTATTCATTAATCTTTATATTTTGTGTCAGAGCTGCAGAAACCTTCTGCTTCTGAAAARGTTGTTGAAACATTTTGTTCCGTCGCTCAGAAGAAACAACCGTCAGGTTCTTCTGGTTCCTCTCGCCCTGCCTGATGATGTCACCGCCYACAAAAACCCTTCAGCCTGCATGTTGCCTCATCGAGCTTTGACTGAAAAGATTTTAGGGTTTTTCATGTTTTGAGTTGATTCTCCGCAGCTAAAAGACTCATAAAACAAACTGGATCAGTGAGCAAGGGTGTCACTGAGGAGAGGGGGCGGGGGGGCCACTGCCCCTACTAAAGTACATTGGTGGCCCCCCTTAAATTAAATTAAATTAAATTAAATTAAATTAAATTAAATTACCTTTCCTGGGGTTCTGCGACGTCTCTGAGCTGCTCTTCGGTTTTATCGGTCCCTCTGTTGTTTTTAAAGATCTCCTCCATCAGGTCCACTGTGGATTTACCCCCCCAGGTGTCCAGGAGCGGCGCCAGAGACGGGTCCRGCAGCACCTGGGCGCCGTCAGACAGGAAGTTCACGAGAAAAGAACCAAACAGAAATATAAAATCGAGGTTTTATAAAATCTGCTGAGTCAGCYTTCACAGAATTATTTTTGTTTTTACGTTTTTACAAACAACTCCTGCAAACTTTGTCTTATTTTAGCTGTTTATATTTCAAAATGCTCGGCTCGATCAGGAATGCCTGTTAAGACTTTGCGTTTTTAACTTTTATATGTCTTTATCTTTTGAACTTTATTTATAAAAAACTATTCCAACAGAAATACATTTAAATATTTATATTTTTTTAATTCATCTTTTAAATTTACTTCGGCTTCTGGCTCATTTTGTCTTTTTAGGATTCTTTGAGCTATTCGTTACTGTCTTTAATTTTACCCTTGAAATACAACTTTGTTCATTTTAGCTTTTGGTTGAGGTTCTGCTACATTTAGCTTTTAGCTAATTATTGCTATTGGTACGTTTTATAACTCGTAAAGTTTTAGCTATTGTTTTGCTAATTGTAGCTGTTATTTAGTTTTGCTATGCTCATTGTTATTTTTACCTAATGTTTAGCTCATTTTAGCTGTTAGCCACAACTTTGCTAATTTAAATGTGTAACAATTACTTTTAGCTCGTTTTGCTAGTTTTAGCTTTTAGCAAAAGTGTAGTCAGTTTAGCTTTTTAAATTTTATTAATTTTAGCTTTAGCTGCTGTTTTGCTTATTTTAGTATTATATTAAATTCATTTTAGCTTTTAGCTACACCTACACCTTTAGCTACTAGTTAATTTTTCCTGCAAGGTTTCTTTACATTCAGCTTTTAGATACTTTTTTTGCTAGTTTAAACCGTTTTAGAACACTTTAGTTGATCTTAACTTTTAGCTCAAGTTCWATCAAGTTAACTTTAGCTACTGTTTTGCTGACTTTAATTTGTAGCTTGTTTTGCTCATTTAGCTTTTAGCTGTGTTCATTTTGTTCAGGAGCTGCAGTTTTGTTTAATTTAGCTTTTAGCTGTTTTACTAATAGTAGATTATAGCCTGTCTTTGCAGGTAATGTTTTGCTTATTTTAGCTTTTAGCTACTGTTTTAGCTTAGCAGCATTTATATTCTTGTTTCTTTTGTCTGTCTGCAGGTTTGTGTATGAATAAAGTTTATTCAAACACACCAGCTGACGAGCTAGCYTCTCCGCTCTCAGCTCTTCGGGCGTTTTGTCTCTTCTGAGCAGCAGCTGATACTCCAGCTCGTCTTCGGCTGTGGTGGAGGCGGTGACGGAGGTGGACGGGGGCGGACTCAGCGGTGGACTCGGCTGTGGTGAGGACCGGGACYAAGACTTCCTGTTCGAGTTGTTCAGGAAATCTGAAGGAAAACTAAAATAAAAACAGAAAAATTAATTTTGATGTTTTGAGGAGGACTTGGAGGTTCGGCTGTTTGGAGGACAAACCTGGGCTCGGGTTCAGCTTCCAGCTCCYYAGGAGGAGGAGGAGGAGGAGGGAAGTCCTCCAAGATGTTAGTCTCTTTTAAAGGCGAAGGAGGAAGAGGAGGAGGAAGAAGACTTTGGAAGAAGACCTCGTCGTAGTCCTCCTGGGGGGTTCCTGTTGAAGCCTTTAGCTGCTGCTGGTCCCAGGACCCACAGAGGCTGGACTCTGAGATCCTCAGGGAGGACAGGTGGCCACAGGTGGACGGAAGCGTCGTGACGCTCCCATTTTCATGGACACGCCCCCCCGTCGACTCCGGACTGAAGGCTCCGCCCTCTGAGGCGTCTCCTAAAACGTCACTCAGACTGTGTCTCGTCCGTCTGTCCGTCTTGTCGTCGGGGAAACCGAAGGCGTCCGCGTTGGCCCGACRGAGCCTCTCGCTGGTTCTCCACTCAACGCCGCCCCGAGTCTCCGTCGGAGAAAAGGGGCAGGGGAGGCCGACCGACGCCGCCAGGGTGGAGGTGCTGTGGGCGTGCTGCCGCTCGCCGTTCCTCTGTCGCTCCCTGCGAGTGACGGGGATGTGGGCGTGGTCTAAACCAGAACCAGGAACAGAGAAACGGTTACAAACAATAAAGTGATCCCTGAGGCACTGAACGGGTTTGCCTCAGGGGGAGGTGCTTCAGGGGGTCGTGGTCAACGCTCTGGATTTACTGAGGGGGGGGCTTTAGAGAAATGAAAATATGGCAGTCTGTTGTTCCATAATTACAACTGTATGGACCATTATGTAACATCAATATAATCAAATATATGGCAGACCGTTTCATCAAAACTAGTGATGTATGACAGGGCATTGTATCATATAATTTAAAAATATGGCATACTCTTGTATTATAATTAATAATATATGGCATGCCGTTGTGTCATATATCCAAAAAGTATGGTAGACCACTGTATCGTAWATTGAAAATATGGCAGGCCATTGTATAATAATTAATGAAGTGTGGCAGGCCATTGTATCATGTAATTTAAAAGTATGACATGATTCTGCATCATAATGAACAAGTTATGGCATGCCGATATGTCATATAATCAAAARATATGGCAGGCTGATGTTTCATAATTAAAAACGTATGGTATACCGTTTTATGGCATATAATCAAAAATATGGCAGGCTGTTGTATCATAGTTAAGAAGGTATGACGGGCCATCGTGTCATATAATTTAAAAACATGGCATGTTTCTGTATCATAATGAACAAGTTATGGCATGCCGATATGTTATATAATCAAATATACAGCAGGCTGTTGTATCTTAATTTAAAAATATGGCATATTTCTGTATCAAATGAAGAAGTTATGGCATGCCAATATGTCATATAATCAAAATACATGACATGCTGTTGTATCATAATTAATGTATAGCATGGCATATTATGAAAATATACGGCAGGCCATTGCATTATATAATGAAAATATGGCAGGCCATTGTATCATATAATTAAAAAAATATACAATATATTTTTTCAGTAAAATTTTCTTTTGTTACAATTTTTTTTTCATTTTTAACAATTTTCATTCCGTAAAAAAAATTAAACTTTAGCCCCAGTTTAGCTTCATCCAGAACTCATTGGAGGGATTACATCCCTGCTGGTCTGGAAACACCTTGGGGTCCTCCAAGTTTGCGAGTGTCTCTGGGGTGAGGAAGGTTTGGGTTTCTTTCCTGGACCTGTTGCCTTCACGACCTGACCACGAATTAACGGTAAAAGAAGTCAAGTCTACTTGTTGCCCTCGTTTAGTCCAGAATATCTACAGATAAATTTTGACCAAAGCCAAGATTTTCTGTGGATAAAGTGGATCAGCAGTTCAAAAACAAGCTCCTGAGACCGACCARCCCTACAGAGGAAGACCCCTCACTTGAGCGGCTTGTAACCAGGACCTGAGTCTTTGTCAGGAGCTGGTACATAGACGGACCAGGAAGGACGTCTTAGTTTCAACAACTGGTTCGAGACGTTCAGAAAACCTTTTTAACTTTGACTTTGTCTTCAGCCTGGGGTTGTCCTGTCATCGCTTACCTTGAGACAGTCCCCCAAATCGGACAGTCGACTCACTGAAGTGGGATGGCAGAGGAGGGACGATGTGGACATCTGCAGGTCTGAGAGTCAAACAGATGGAGACAAAATAAGAGCAAAAAGACAAAAAAGAATAAAGGTAGAGCGGAGTCTAAATGGAGACGTACCGATCTGCAGCCAGAACGCAGCGGTCGGCTTCAGAGAAAGACACGCCAAACATCTTGACGTCACCTGAAATCAGGTTCTGAAACACAAACAGTTCAGAGACAGATCTCAAAGGTGGTTTACGGCGTCAGGTCCAGAGCAGCTCAGAATTACCTGTTTGAGATCCTCTATGGTCGGGGAGGACCGCGAGCGCTGGTGCTGAGGAGAGTACGGCTGATCCTCCAGACGCTCCAGGAGATCCTCAGCGGAGGCCGACCTCCCGGACCCTCGGTGGGACCCGGCCCGCTTCAGAGCCTCATTGAGCTTCTTAGAAAGGCCCGGCTTGAGTTGAGCCTCTGCGTTCTGCTGGTCTCCACTCAACTTTCTGCAATGACTCTGCCTCTTGAAGGCCACTTCGGGGTTGAAGTCCTGGTAGACCTGGGTGTGGAGCTCAACAGCCGAACCCGTGGAAGCTCTAGAGAAAAGCACCAATAAGAGGAGTTAGTCAAGGTTATACCTCCTGAAGTGTGGATGGTCTAGTCGCCTGTCGCGGTCTGGTCACCTGGGTCCTAGCTGAGCGGGGGGTCTGGGTGTGGTCACCCTGCCGGGGTAGAAAAGGTTCGTCTGAAAGCTCCGCAGATCGGTGCCGACCGGAAGGGTCGAGCAGAGACGCCTCTCCCCAGAGAGGATGTTCTGATCCGGGGTGGACTCCTGGAGGGACAGAAGGCTGGAGGTGGAGGACAGGCTGAAGGTGTCTGAGAGACAGAAGACCAAAGACAAAGGAAAGAGACGCACGTCAGGGTTGTTGGTCAAACTCCTGCACGACAACAAGAGAGACTGTAGTTTGTCCAGAGCTCATCATCTATTAGGGGTGTCCCGATACCCATTTTTCTCAAACTGAGTACAAATACTTCAGCTTGGGTACTCGTCAATACAGAGTACTTCCTGAGTTCAGCCTAAAAATCATGCAACATCTGTGTCCAAATTCAGGAGTTGGGTCCTTCGAAAGACCTGGTCTGGTATTAACAACACAACCTGAAACTTTTAACTTTTATACCATCTCTAACTTCTTCCGCCTATCCGTAGTTGGGTCACYGAGGCAACAGGTCCAGGAACCCAGACATTCCTCTCCCCAGCGTCACTTTCCAGCTCATCCTGGGAGACCCCAAGGTGTTCCCAGGCCAGAGAGGATACATAATCCCTCCAGTGAGTCCTGGGGTCTTCCCCGGGGTCTCCTACCAGTGGGACGTGCCTGGAACACGTCACCAGGGAGGCGTCCAGGAGGCATCCTAACCAGATGAGCCACCTCAACTGGCTTCTTTCGATGTGGAGGAGTAGCGGCTCTACTCTGAATCCCTCCCGGATGATGGAGCTCCTCACCCTATCTRTAAGGCTGAGCCRGGCCACCCRACGAAGGWAGRTCATTTCAGCCGCTTGTATCTGCGATCTGGTTCTTTCAATCATGATCCACACCTCATGACCACAAGTGAGGGTTGGAACGAAGACAGACGAGTAAATCGAGAGCTTTGCCTTTCGACTCAGCTCTTTCATCACCACAAATGACTGAAGCAACGCCCTCATTACTGAGGACGAGGCCCCAATCCGTCAATCCATCTCCTGCTCCATCCTACCATCACTCATAAACAAGACACCCAGATACTTAAACTCCTCCACCTGAGGCAGAGACTCTCCCCCGACATATTTTATTTAAAACTGTACTTCTTTCTCTCACTTTGGCCACAATTACAAGCAGAAAAAATCTCTGGTTGGCCCGCAATGAATTATGGAATATGGTGGGCTAAGAAGAATCCATCGGACCCGTCCCTCTAATTGTGGAAAAAGAAGGACACATTTGTCGGTCGCATTGGAGGAGTCTTTGAATTTAAACAGCCTCCGGCTGCTGACAAATTCGGAATTKGGACAGGGTGGCTCTCCATCCTTATAGGCCTGCAGCCTACTGTGCAATAAACATCTGATAGCATTGCACTAATTAGCTGCTAAGGTACAAAATAGCTCATAGAAAACTGCTAGCATAATGCTAATCTCCCAAAACACTCAGTATGTAAAAAAATCAATCGCAAAACAACTCACCGCGTTGGGCAACAAATTTGTCCATGAGTCGACATTTTCTTTTTTTTTACTGAGATCATTTGGAGGTAGGGCTGCCACAAACGATTATTTTTATAATCGATTAATCACAGATTATTTACTTGATTAGTCGACTAATCGYATCATYCYTTAATTGAATATAAAACATAGAGCTTATCACGCCACAATGCAGCTGCTATTGTATAACCATSGTTAGATTTTAGCTATATGCTAACTAAAAATAATTGCTGTGGAAGGTAAGTTCTGCTCTGCAGATATTACACAGGTTTCTCTTTCATTTTCTTSAAATGATCCCACACTTTGAGCTCTGTTGTCAGGTAGCCATGATACCAGAGCCTGTCTGTATAATGTCTTGTGACGTCCACGGCCTACCCCAGTTACCACTACTGTGCATGTGTGTCAAGGACAGAAAGGCAGATGTGGCAGTGGAAGGTGTCAAAGCAGTTTGGAGAGAAAAACAAAAAACAAAACAAACAAACAAAAAAAAAAAAAACGATTAATCGATTATTAAATTAGTCGTCGATTATTTTAATAATCGATTAGTCGTCGATTAATCGATTAATCGTGGCAGCCCTATTTGGAGGCAGTCACTTCCGTTTTTTTTTGGCCATGTTATTTCCAGTTTTTGGTAAACTCAAAATCAAGGGAAAGAACTGTAGCACCCCCTAATGGAAAGGAAGGAGGGAATCCAATATTGGCGTCAAAGAGCATATAAGTGTTACCGGCCCAGAGATTTTGGGTATTTTGTACTTTGGAATAAATATAGCCTCCTGCTACAAGGAGGTAGCCACCGCTGGGGGTGCAGTGGTCCTAAATATCGCACCATAAATGTTCCGCTTTGGAGCAACTGAGCCGTAACAGTCAAAAGGCAATGGGACATCTAAGACAACCCCACTGAGTGGCACCCATTCCTTTATGAAGGTGTAGAAGTAGAGTTATAAAACAGGATTTGACATCTACCTATGTCGGCGTCTGTCCGGTAATCTGCCCTCACCTGAGTGGCTTCCATTTTCYTTCTGAAAGAAAGCGCTGCGAGGCCTCGTTCCGTTCCTCGGCCCTCCTTCTCTCTTGACCCCGGTCTTCCTCTCCACGTACTCAGCGAGGGCGTCTTGACGAACTTGTCTGAGGTCGAACCTAGACATGGTTCTCTGAGGAGCGCCGTCGCGTACTGCGGCYAGCTCAAACATCTTCCTGCGGTCGGCCACGCTGGTTTCTGGCAGAAAAGAAGAAAAGCGTTAAAACTCTGGCTCGTACAATACCAGCTGAGTGATTAAATGTGTCCAAATTGATTTTGTTTTACCACCTCCACGCCGTAGGAGGGTATCGATCTCAGGATCCGACACTCCGACCTCGTTCATGTTCTCTGGTTCTGAGTAWGAACGCTTCTTCTGATCGGCAGTCAGACGCTTGCGGCCGCAGATTCTCATCAGGGGAGGAGGAACAGGTCCGACTGGAGGAATGGTGGGGAGGGGCGGAGGGCTCTGGCCTCGGACATCGGGACAGACCACGTGCCTCTCCTTTGGCGTGTGACGGGAGGTGACCGGGGACTGCGGAGCGATGACAACGCCCTGAGGTTTGGGCTTGGTTTTTGGACCTTTTCTCTCCAGAGAGTGGTTCTTGGCAGGGGTGAAGCAAGGCTGCTGGTGGACTGAAGAGTTCAGGTCGTTTCGTCTGAAGGAAGTGGATCGATGGACGTTCGGCTGGCCGTCTCTGTGCGAGTCCCTGATAAATCAAATGATCCAACGTTAGAGMGATTGTATTCACAAACTGAAGGACTCAGAGAACACAGACCTGGTGGAGAACTTGTCCTGTAGAGGGTCCATGATCTCTAGGATCTTCTGTTTCCAGGGGAAGTCCTTGCTGGCGTCCCCGTCCTTAGACACATCGAGCTGAAAGCTGCTGCGACTTCTCTGAAGAGCTGAAACAGGATCTGCTGAAGTCCTGAACACCAAACAGATTTGATTAATTTTACTTTAGCAGCTTTTTTGTGAGGATAAARAAAGCCATTAGCTAATCCGCTAACAGCAGAATAAATTCTTTGTTTAGCAGATTAGCTTTTTCACCAACTTTGATAGCGGACCAATTGGGTTCTGCTAAATTAGGTTTTACTAACTGTAAGWCTGCTAACAGTTAACTAACAAGCTAACATCAACAGGTTTATGTCGAAGAGACGAAGACGTGACACAAACTGTGACAGTCAAATTAGCGGTTAGCAATCTCTTAGCATTAGCGTCTGCAATAGTTTTATGTTTAYCAGTTAACAAAGCTTAAGTTTAGGACCTAGTTAAGAGTAGTTCATAGGTCCTAGTTTTTGGTTCTGGTTCTTGGTTCTGGTCTTTTGTTTTAGTTCTTGGTTGTGCTTCTTGGTTCTGGGTTCTAGTTTTGGTTCTAGTTTCTTGGTTCTGGTTCTTGGTTCTAGTCTTTGGTTTTAGTTTCTTGGTTCTGGTTCTTGATTTTAGGTTTTGGTTCTGGTTCTTGGTTCTAGTTTCTTGGTTCTAGTTTTTGGTTCTGGTTCTTGTTTTAGTTCATGGTTCTGGTTCTTGGTTTTATAGTTATTGATTCTGGTTCTTGGTTGTAGTTTTTGATTCTGGTTCTTGGTTCTAGTTTTTGATTCTGGTTCTTGGTTCTAGTTTTTGGTTCTGGTTCTTGTTTCTGGTTGTTGGTTTTAGTNTCTTGGTTCTAGTTTTTGGTTCTGGTTCTTGTTTCTGGTTGTTGGTTTTAGTTTTTGATTCTGGTTCTTGGTTCTAGTTTTTGGTTCTGGTTCTTAGTTCTGGTTCTTGGTTCTAGTTTTTGTTTCTGGTTGTTGGTTTTAGTTTTTGATTCTGGTTCTTGGTTCTGGTTTTTGGTTCTGGTTCTTAGTTCAGGTTCTTGGTTCTAGTTTTTGGTTCTGGTTCTTGGTTCTGGTTCTTAGTTCAGGTTCTTGGTTTTAGTTTTTGGTTCTGGTTCTTGTTTTTGGTTCTAGTTTTTGATTCTGGTTCTTGGTTCTGGTTTTTGGTTCTGGTTCTTAGTTCTGGTTCTTGGTTCTAGTTTTTGGTTCTGGTTCTTGGTTCTGGTTTCTTTTACCCGTGTCTGCCGCTCTCGGTGCTGCCTCCTCTGTAGCTCATGGTCCTGTGAGCTTTCGCCTCTTTGGTGCTTCTCTCCAACATATTTCGGAGGTCTTCGGCTCCACAGGGGAAACTTCGGCCTTTTTCYGTCGTCTGATGTAAAAACGTTTGAAAACAGAGTCTAAAAATTGGACAAAGAACCAAACTTTAAGGAAAAGTAATACTTGTTTTGATGGTTACCTGCAGAGGCGTTTTGCTGTAAGAGACACTCGTGCTCTTGCTTCTCTGTTTTCCGCCACGCTCCCGACGCTCGAAACGACTGACCTTCTCCAACACCGACAGGCTGTGGGCGGGGCCGTGGGCGTCGTCGCCYAACCCGCCGCTGTCGTGGTTGTTGCCAGGGACGCCGCCGGTGGGGCTGGAGGAACGCTGCACCTCCTGCAGAGCGTTCTCCAGAAGGGTCAGCGGGTGCTCGCCGTCTCGGTCGTGGTCCCTGTGGTTCCAGTGAGGCGCCGCCGAGTCACTGTGGCGACGAAGACACGGCTGCGGGACGGAGGTGGGCGGAGCCTGAAGCTGCGGTTGAGCAGGTGAGTTGCAGCTGGGTCGCACCTGTCCCCGGGGGAGTCGGGAAGATGCTGCCGGCTCTGGATAAATACTGGTCTGGTCTCTGGACCTGAGAGGACATGAAAATACAAAAGAGTCAGAGTGAACGCTGCGGGCTAAATGACTTTACTAAAATAAAAATAAAAAACTTTATCGATAAATTCACAACAAGCAGAACAAAACTACAAAGATCTGAAGAGTGACAAACTAAATCAAAAACCGCTAAAAGCTAAAACCAACTAAATTAAATAGATCCTAAAATGAACCAAATCATGTCCAAGAGCTAAAATTAGCAAAACCTCAGTTAACAGCTAAATTTATTAAACTTCAACCAAAGGCGCAGATAAAAAAAATGTAGCTAAAGGTTAAATTTAAGTAGCTCAGATCTAAATTAGAAAATCACTTCTTGTAGCTTTATTTAGCAGAGCTATAACTAACGACATTACGATACACAAAGCAGTAGCTAAATGTAGCAAAACAATGGCTAAAAGCTAAACTAGGACAACATTAGCTAAAAGCTTAAACAAACACCACAACTAAATGCTAAAGTAAACAAAACAGTAGCAAAAAAGTAAAAACTAACTAAATGATACCTCATAGCTGTCATGGTCTGTGTTTTTATGCCTTGGTTTTTCTAGTGTTTCAGTGTTCCCCCGTGMTCCCTGCTCACCTGTTTCCCTTTGTGTCTCCTCCAGGTGTTTCTTGTTTGTCCTCGTTAAGTTGCCTTTATATTCTGTGTCCTGTGTTTAGTCTACGTCGGATCATTGTTCTGTTTAGCTTGTCTGATTTTTCATGTCCCTGGAGTTTTATCGCCACGTCTCATCAAATGAGTTTTCTCAGCTGCTTCGTCAGATTTTTGATTTAATAAAGACTTTGTTTTATTGAACTCTGCCTGTGCCCTGAGTCAATCTGTGCCTTAAACCTGACAACAGCTGAAATTAGCAAAAAAACGAGCTAAACAGTATAAAAACAAACTCATAGCTTTAAGCTGAAATTAGCTAAACTGTAGCTAAAAGCTTAATGTAGCAAAACTATACCTATCGAGTAAAATATGTAGAGTAGTAGCTTAAAATAAAACAAGGTAAACATTAGCTAAAGAGCTACAACTAACAAACTTATAGCTTATATCTGAAATGAATTAACTGTAGCTAAAAGCTTAATGTAGCAAAACCGGTAACAGGTAAAATATGCAAAACGGTAGCAAAATCATAGATAAAAACTACAAGTAATAAAACAGTAGCTCAAAGCTAATCTTAGCAAAACAGTAGCTAAAAAGCTAAAGCTAACAAACTCAGCTTAGAGCTGAAAATTTAAAAARAGAATCTTTATGTTACGTAAATTTCAAAAACTATATAGATCTGAACGTATTTCTTTAAAAAATAGTTTAAAAAAATGAAAGAAGCATCAAAGTTAGAAGTAGTCCCAGTCCAGTCACAGAACTCTGGTCCTGCTCAGGTCTGTGGTTTTGGTAAACGAAGGGTTAAAAACTGAAGTGATGAAGTCGTTTGAAACTAAAAACAGCTGAATGCTAACTCAGCGTTAGCAGGATGTGTTAATCTGGACCCAGTGAGGGTCCTGTAACGTACCGGCTCTTGTCTCGGGGGTCACTCTTCTCCTGAGAGGAAGACCCTCTAAGATTTGGACCTGAGTGGACCGGGGTAGTCCTGAAATCCTGGATCTGCTCCTGGGAATGGTAAAATTGGAAAGCCTGGCTGAAGGGTCCCYGGTGATTCTGGGGTCTTTGGGATCCAGTCTGTCCGTCGAAGTCGCCCCCGGCTGTTGTGGCCTGCGTCCTGTGGGTCCCAACGTTGGACTCTTGGTGCTGAGGCCGACTGAAAAGACGAAGAAACCGTCAGAAAAACAGAACTGTGGAACCAGAACCTGGAGACCGTTAATGAAGCCTCACCTGTCCGCCTCGCTCGCTCGGGTCCTGATCTGCGAAGAGGCAGATCCTGAAGAAGACGACGGTGAAAAATGATTTTGGTGGCCYTTTTCTGCAGCCGGCATCCTTTCGTCCTTCCCTTTCAGAGGACCTGCAGGTCCAGAGGAGGGTCCGGTTGGAGACGGGGGCTGGGAGAACCCTCCGCCCTGTCGAGGCTTTATGGTGGGACTGCTCTCTGGACTCTTCTCAATCACGGTGTGGAGCTGACCCTCAAGACCGTACGGACCTTTAGCTGGAACCAAACCAGGACTTTAGTACTAATCAGTTCCCTGGTCAGACCAGTAGAACCATAGACCATACCTGAGGCGACGGGTCCGCTGGAGTGGTGCCAGGAACCTTTCTGCAGAGACCTGAGGGGAGAAAGTGGAACCTTAGAACGGGTCTACCCAAACAAAGAGGTCTTAATGGTTTAGAGAAGACCCCGCTGACCTCAGGGACCGGGCGTGGTCCAGACTGGACCAGGAGTTGGGTCTCTCGTGGTTCCTGATGGCGGCGTAGCTGTCACTGCGCCTCGGTGGAGCCGGCGCCCCCTTCAGGCTCTCGTAGGAGCTGTAGCTGGCCGCCGCGCCCCATATGGGTCCCACGCTGTGTCTGTTCGAAGCCGGGGCGCCGCTCTTGTTGCTAACGCTGTTGCCACGGTAACAAACCCCACCCACTACAGAAAAAAAAATGCTGACGTCTCAGATTAAATTATAACAAGAAAGACCCTGCGGGWAACGTTACCTTGGAGGTCTCGGTTCGGCCCCGGTCTCGCCCCGTCCCTGGAGTCGCTGCTGCTAAGCAACGCGGTGGAGGCGGGGCTTAACTCCTGACAGGGACCGCCCTGCTGGGCGTCGTAGGCCGGCRGCACGCCGTGAACGTCTGCCTGCAGCATCTCCGCGCTCCCCCCGCCCCTCTGAGGAACGGTCTCCAGGGAGCAGGAGCGCTCCGGGCTGAAGGTCGGGGTCGAGGCCAGGTACTCCGGGATGCTGGAGCTGGTGGAGTAGGCGGAGTCTCGCTTGCTGTGCAGGTGGTCGATGCTGTTCGACGACCTGGAAGACGATTTAAAGTTCCTGTGACGTGCATATTCTTCACACATGATTTTACCCATTTTGTCACATAACTGCATATTTTCTTTTGAACTTGGTTCAGCCAAAGTGAAACAGGAAGTGACATCAAAGGGGAACTCTTTAACAAAGAAAACTCTCTGGTCTTTGTTTAATGAAACTATCTTATTTGAACTCTGACTCTTCTTCTCTTTCTGATAGTGAGTCYTTATAATCTAAAGAAACATCAGATTCTTCTCTACAGTCTGTGTTGTTTGTCATTTCAGCAAAGCTCTGTTCACATCCAGACACTCCCCTTTGACATCACTTCCTGTTTCTTCACAGGCAAATATCTCAACAACTGTTCATCTCAGCGACATCAAATTTCTTTCGCAATATTTCAAAAATGTCCTCTTTCTAAAAATGTATTCATGTGTATTACAAAAATTTGACGCCACAGGCACTTTAACAATTGAATGAATTGAATGTTGTGTATTCAACAATTTATATATCAAAACCTTCGGCTACTTCAGCACATTACAGCTATGACTTTTGGTATTTCAGCTTTTAATACTTRGAGATATTTTCTTTTTCATTGAAAATAAATAGAGCTGTCGTCAGCATCTTAAAAAATGTTCAAAAAAGTTTTAAAATCTTTTCTGCACTTTTTACTGGTTGTGCTTTTGTTAACTTTTATGCTAATTTCAGCTTCCTTTAGCTTGCATTTGGCTTATTTTAGCTTTTTTCTGCTTTGTTAGCTATCATTCTGACCTTTGTTGCTATTCTGCTAATTGTGACGTTTTTGTGTTCTTTATTCTAATTTATGCTCATTTCAACTGCTTTCTGCTAATTTCAGCTGTTTTTGTGTTTTTAGCTAATTTGAGCTTTCCCCAGTTAAATTCACTCTGTATCAACAATTTTAGCTTCTTGCTACTTAAATCAGCTATTTTTGTTTCTTTGTGCTAAATTCAGCTATTTAGCTATTTCAAAGCTACTTTTAGGCTAGTTTCGGCCTTTTTTTTTGCTATTTCAAAACAAATTTAAACTTATTTGTACTCCTTTTCTTGTTTATTGCTTATTTGAAAAATTTCACACTACTTTCCCTAKCTGTCAATTTTAAATTCTTATTGCTAATTTTAGCTTCTTTTTGCTAAATTTAGCTACTTTTAGCTTTATTAGCCATTTTCAGCTACTTTTCTACTAATTTAATCTGTCTTGTGCTCAGTTCAGTCCCTTCAACTGAATACAGTTTAAAGATATTAAGATAACTCACATTATCAGATTTGTTATTAAARGTTTTCATGCTGCACTTTTGAAGGAAATGCTAAGTTTTCAGTTTTCTATGAGTTRATCTTTTCCCAGGCGCCTCAAACGCATCACAGCCCACTCCCAGTTGTCTTCATGAACCAGGGTTATTATAGTTAACTAAAACTAACGAAATAACGAAAACTAAATTTTAAAAAACATTTTAGTTAACTGAAGTAAATAAAAACTAAAACAAAATGAAGAAAGTAATTAACTAAAACTGTATAATCTTTTTACAAAACTAACTAAAACTAAATTATAATGAAAAAATCCAAAAGTATTATAACCTTGTGACGAACCTGGCCGAGGACAGCTGGTGGCAGGACGAGTACGCCGAGTGAAGCCCGATGTGTCCGGGGTGTCCGAGCAGGTGCTGGTTCTGAAAGGCGGAGTAGAGCTGAGTGGACTGGGGCGGGTCCAGGCTCTCCATGCTGCCCCTGGAGCTGTACTGGTCTGGACTCTTCCTCAAGTAGCCGCCGCCGCCGCCGCCGTAGTCGAACCTGCCGGACAGGTCAGTGGTCGAAACGCTGAGAGATCAAAACACAAAAAGGAGAATTTTAGCTTCAATTCAATAAGTTTTGGTTTTGTGCAACTTGTTAAAATCCTCCACGACATCATCAAACATGAGCAGTTTTAATTTTTAGGAATGTAGGAAAATATCGATATATTGAAAGATCACGATATTTCATTTTCTGAAACTGTATTGATTTATAACTAAGGCTGATGTTAGAAGAAATGTGAAATACAAATACAGCTATGAGATAAAATTAAACTGAATGTAATCATGAATATTTGTTTTTAAATAAGACTCTTTTAGAGAAAAAAATGGAAATACATCGCCTTGCTTACAGGATTACAATATATCACAATATATCATACCTTCAACAAATTTTTGCCAGCCCGCATTTTTTTGTTCATAAAATCAAATTGACCTAAATTGTAGCTTATTTTCAATTCAATTCAAAAAAATGTATTCATTTCATTAAAAAACAAAATAACTATATCCAATATATCCTGATGCATCTCAGTAATCCAGGTAAAAAATGAAAAAGAAAAAAATAGTATAGGTCTTCTGGACGGGTTCTTCTTTAATGAAACGTTTCGTCTCTCCTCCAAGAGACTTCTTCAGTCTGAGTTTTGTTGGAAGAGTTGGAAACTGGCGTGTATCGTAAGCRCACCCACACAGACCAATATTTGCGTTTTGACTCCCACCACCCACTGGAACACAAGTTAGGAGTGATCAGGACTCTGTACCAC